TCTGCCTTTTGCCCCTCCTTTTGAATCTGGGTCGCTGATCTTTGCATTTTGTGGTTTCATCTGTGTTCAACTGGAGTCCCCCATTCTGATCTGAAGTAACAGGCGTTAACCTGGCACGAATATGGAACTGATACTTCGCAATCCGCAAGAAATAATTAACTAAAAATTAAGAGTTATTATGTCTGAAGTGAGTGACAATTTGAAAGGAAAGCTGTTTTTGGTGCTTAACTAAGCAGATGCATGTGGGAATGGAGGTATAGCTCCACGACTTCTTAACCTCGGTACCAGATGCAGGTGATTCAGTTTAATCCCCCACCCCCGAAGTAAAAAGTTGCAGTGGAACCACGGTTCCGGAGAATTTGACGTAAATACGTCTCTGTAATGAAATGTTATCTTCAATGTCATCCGTCTTGTTACGAAAGCGGATTGTTGACGGCAGTAATGTAACACAACAATGTCGAGTAAACAGGTGACGTTTCCTAGGAAACATAATGCACGCAAGGTGATCATTGTTGTCGATCCATATTTACACATTGTTGATACAGATCTAACACTTTTTCGCGGAATGACCCTTCCATATAGACGTATTTACGTCAAAAAAAATCGGGTGGGCCTCCGTTGTGACGAAGAGAAATCCTGTCTCCGTCTTCCAGCTGATAAATGTGAACTGAGTACGGATAACGCAGGGCCGTGAAGGAATGCGAGGCCCGCAATTGATTTAGCCTAAGATTATTTAACTACATTTTACTAAGCACAATGGAACGCTGTGCCGAATGAAGTGACGGGATTGTTGTGCGTGATTAATCGGAGAGGAAGTCGGTCGTGATCTATTTTAAGACATATCTCGTTGAGCGCAGTTATTATAGCCGATGCTCAGACTTGTTGAGTTCCATTACTTTGGCTGCCGTGACGAAAGATGATGTTACTTTCTGTAACAACCATTAGACGTGTTAAATCAATTCGACGGCGTCTCTTGAAGTCTCGATGTGGACCATATGACGTGAATTTCGCTAATTGAGTTGTGTTAACCTCTGGGGATGTTCGAGAATTGAATTGCAGTTAATTTATGAACGTGTTCTGTGAAAATCCAGGGACTGTGACGTTTAATGGCGATCACGGATGCGTATAGAGAAAAGGAATGCGCATTTCGTATTGTAGTTTTTCTTTCTGCCTACGTTTCGACTGTGGGTCATTGTCCGTCTTGAGAACCTGATAGTTTCACAGCTATCCAAAGAAATATCCCGCGAAATGCGATGTTTAATTAAGGTCTGTTTTAAAATTTCTCGTTCGTTGACTTTTTTTTGTCCGAGTTTCCATCTCACGTCTTTTGCGTGTTACAGTACTTGCTGAGATTAATCACTTTTTAAAATGTTTTCTCCAGTTCCTCGTCAGTATCACCAGTGGAAATTAAAAATATTAATCGTATAGAACATCTTCTGCGTCTTGCCAGGTATTTATCACGTAATTTCTGTGTATTCAGGTGGATAACTGCTGCATAAATAATTAATACGCGTTGTGTAACTTGAATCCATTCACACTGAACCGTTAGGTTGAAGACCGCCTTGAGGCGTTGGACTTCAATCATATTTCGTGTCTCTCCCCCCCCCCCCCCCCCCCCAATTTAATTGATACTCGCCACTTGACTGCAGATCAGCGAAGGGTTTAACAAACATGACTTTGTACAAAACTTCGCCACTACGCAAGAGGAGGGACGTGGAGGTCACTGACTTCCCAGGAGGAGAGTTGTCTTGGCCCAGGTGAAAACTTTCCACTCCTCTCAGCTTCGTGTTCTGTCTTCCGTAACCATGGTTACTGAATAAGACTGGTTTTATCTCTGCAATCAGCTGCAGCTTAAATCCACTGTCAAAGCCGTTGCTACTGAACGCCGCGTACTATTTAAAAAAAAAACGAATTATGTAAAGCCTTTTTTAGTCCCCTAGAATTTAATTAATTTGTGGCCTTGTTATGTTGGTAATTGCGTGAATGGCAACACTGTTCAAGTACAGCGAATTCACTGCAACTTTTAAGTGCTCTACGGAGCTGTAATTATGGCTGTGTGCTTAGGGATGCTGGACGAAAAGGTTGAATGTTGAGTTTAGTAATTTGATATTAATTAAGAAAACACGTCAAAGATAGGATTGACGGGGGATCCTTATAGAATTGAGGCTGGAAACCTGTAAACCCACTTGGTAGACAGAGGCTTAGACGAGAGATAATATTAAAACGAAACTTGAAGACATAGGTGGGAATGTATGGATTTAGATTGGCATTGTTGCATTCAAAATCCAGTGGATTGATACACGAAAGTTCAACTAGGTTGTCACTATGGGTGAAATGTCTCGTCGTTGGATGCTGTTTCATGACGTCTGATTATGCGTTTCGCATCGGCGGAAACATGCCTTTTTCATGAAGGACTTTTAAGGCTGATACGTGAATAATCAGTAGTAGTGCCCTCATTTTAAAATAACAGACAGTAAACCGGAGGAATGTCTGTGTTTTTATAATTTTTTTACTTCAAAAGAAAAACTTCCATATGTGACGGCAATGTTACACGCACGCACAGAGAGAAAAACTGTTGAGTCATCGCATTTGTTAGTAAGAATCAGGTTTTAAGGCTAATCATGCAAACCACAATGTCGCGAAACCCTAAACAGCGTTACCATGGTAACGGTTTTAATAATTTAAGCACGCAAACCACAAGGTTATAATAAAAAAATCCTTCAGCAGCGTTACCATGGCAACGGTAGCGTAATTAATCCATTACACACGAGAATAAAATTAAGGGACGCTGGGCCTTTGTCAGATTGTTCCCGAGAAAAATCATGCACCCTCCGAGAAATGAAGCCGGTGCGATAATTATTCTAGCTGTAAGACGTTTAGACAAACCTGCGAGCTATAACTTACGTTTGCAGTCGCAGACTTATAGGAATGATACATAAGCTAGGCTTTAAGCAGAGTCGCTTTGATCCGTGCTGATACCCTGTTCGTTAAAGCAGCGTGTCCGCGCTATAAAGAGACTGGATGGCCGAGGTTTGACGTCAGTTTTTGGAGATTGAATTGTCCTTAGAGCCCGTAAGATTTCTTAAGTGTAATGAACGTAAAGAAATTGGTCATTTTAATGGTGAAGTGATGTGTTTTCTTTGCGGTGCGGACTGGATGATATATATAAAATACCTACCGCTCAGTCGAACGCCGTGCTCGCAGGGACGTGGACGTATTCCGATGTGTGTCTGACGTCATTGGATTGTTTGACGTGACCGGTTGGCCGTGCCTGTCGTCATTATCATAATTCTCTTGTAGCCCAAGAGATAATGTATGGAGGCGATGGACACGCTTGGCCTTGGAACTGTCATCGTAGTTAGGGCGTTTCAATATCTGTCATTTCCGGTGGAGATTTTTTTTTTCCGTTCGTTGTTTGTCTTTGTTGGTGGATTTAGTAGAAGTTTCGCAGGTGTTTGCTCACTTGAATAAACAGTATGGTCGCTTCTGTTTTGAGTTTCTTAATAAAATGTCTTTTGTTTACTTTTTCCTTAGCTTTGCCTTCTTGTTAACTTTATTTTCGAAAGGTTCATTTTTCCAGTCCCCGCCCTCATGATCTCTTTACAAGGTTTCGAGGCGTCTTAAAACTTTTAAAATGAAATTCTTCTACGAGGGACATTTATAATTAATTTTTCCTTTCAATTTTTTTTTTTTTAATATTTCGACTATGGGTTAATATTCATGTAGCATTTTCTATAGAAACGCCTTTCATTGTGCGTATATGACGTAAATGACAGAAGAATTGCTTGTCTGACGCTTTGTGATCGTAATTTAATCTTTACTTCAGTTCTAAGAAAATATACCTTACCTCGTCCTTTTAATTTGGAAACTTTGTAATAAATTGAAGAAACTTTTGGTCTGTAGTTAATAAAATACGGTATTTCAAGACGGTGTAAGCTACACGCGATGTAATAGCAGCACACGAAAGGAATTTACGATAAGTATGTGAGACTTTGTTCCGTGGAAGCAACTGAATTATGGCATTTCCTGTCTTCGTAGTTCCGAGTCCGGGGAGAAAAAAACATTCAAGATCTTGGCTGACTCATACAGTTGTGCTTTCTTAGCCATTGTTGGTTGATTCTTGCTTTTCCTTCTGAATGAGTTACGTATAATGCATCTGTAAAAATGAATTGTAAAGGATCTGCAAGGAAACGATGTTTTTGTGTGTTTTAAATATTTATATCATTTATCTCAGAATTTGCGTCTGAGTAAGAACAATTACATCGATCTCTGGTCCGGGTTTCGAATCTGCGATCATCCGAAAACGAATCAAGGTCGCCTTCCGCTCTACCGGGACTTTGGGGTCGGAATGTGCGTCGTGGAACGTGAAAGGTGGCAGACGGTGACTGCTTTGTGTCTGCAGGCATCGTTCTGAAAAGGACGCGTAGTGATTGGGCTGTATACAAACTGCTTTTGCGTTTATGGTAGCATCGATTAAAAATACATAGCTGATAGTGAAGTGACCAATGGGGATATATAATAAGCTTGTAAAGTTTACTTAAGTCGGTTTATTATTAAATTTGGAGCGATGTAAAAAGATAACGTGATATTTATGGTTTTTCTTGTCAAAATTAAAAAGAATCCGCCATTTTCTACTCGTCTTTAAGGTTTTATACTGAACTATATATTTACATTCGAGATTCAAAATTTATCACATGACCTGTTCAAATAAGAATAGCTCTGATTCTTTTTACCCCTCCATACATTTTATATTTTTAAGGGGGGGGTGTTGAAGGAAGTGAATTGTTCTCTTCAAGGAGAGAGCAGTCACTCGCTAACCGCGAGTGTTGGCGTCCCTGAAGAAACTCCTCGGTTGGCAAGACGAAAGCCTGAATGTAAGCTCGTGGTTAGGGGAGCCATGTTATAACACCAAAGCACAAGTTAGCGGTTGAACAAGAAATATGTTAAAGTATAAAGGTGTGGATTGGATTAATCTGTCTCAGAATAAGGACCACGGTAATGAACCCTGGGGTTAGATTCTTGGCCAGCTGAGCGTGTTACCAACTTTTCTCAAGTACTCTTTGTCATTTGAGACGGTTGTCAAACAGGACGCGACGTAACGCGACATCCAGGCACGGCTTTAGGGCTAATAAGGTTTAATCTGCTTGTCGACTTTAACGCGCCCTCAGCTGCTTCTGTGCCTAAATCCTGTATTATAATTGATAACTGCCGCTTACCACGCGGCTTGTGGTGGATCAGTGATCGAGCACGTTTTAACAAGCCTCTGCGCATTTGTCGCCCTGATGACGGAATTCTCGTGTCGTGAACATCTGTACTGTCAGGGATTGGCTGATTGAGAGCCCGGTGGTAACCATATGTACCACATACTTACGGCTTTCGTGTGATTCTCAGAATAAATTTCCGTAAACTCGTTAACAAATTGATCGTTGTCATGGAGACGCGTTCAAATAATTAAGTAATAATTGATGATCGCGAAGGGTAAGCTTATTTGTGTGGTGAAGAGTTCGAGAGCAAGGGAATTGTTGACTCTTATGAGCTGATGGACGAGGACATGCCGCCAAGTTTGGTAGCGAATTACTCCAAAATGAAAGGCATTTACATTCTAACAGTGTCGGCGCTTGCAGGACGAACCGGTTCCACGTTGCAAAGAATCTCGCTCCCACCTCATGCATTATTCAGTCTGGCGGAGGAGGGGGGCCCTTCTGAGGACTCGCCATTTGCCGCCGTGACCCCAAGTTATTGGTTTTGCGGGAATGAGAGAGTTTTTGGGGTGGGGTGGGGGTTTGGAAGGGGGTGGCGCTACGGAAACGGTACAGATGTTTCAGGAATTGTTAAATAAACACAGTACGTAGTTCGCTCACTCACGTAATTCCTAGAACTCGTTTAATTGGAACTGATGATTCATATCGACAGCATTAGTCCACGCGCCTTGTGCGTTTTGTTTGGTTAGTGCGTCTAGGATGTCGCTGATTCTGTCCTCTGTCTGCCCTGTACGAAAGAATAAATGCCAAAATGACTTTTTTTACTCGTATCTAAGACGGGTTAGAGATTTATAGTTGATACATTAGAGCAGACTCCCGATCATCCGAAGGCGGATGAACCTTGGCGCATCTGCTTTAAACGAATATTAAAGATCGATTTAGAAACTGTTTTTTAAAACTTAGAACGTTTAGAAAAATAAAGTTATAAATACAAGAATCTCATAAATAAAATATTACATCAGCCTTGTCTCGCGAAACAAATTTATAATTAATCAGAATGTAATAATTTCCGAACCTCCTACATTTTTAAATCAGGTAAAAACCATTAAATTCAAAATATTTTTTTTAAAAAATTTCGAACGCCAAACTTTAACATTTTTTAATTTCCACATTTTTAATTTTAACATTTTGAATTCGTATTTAAATAATCTATCCCAACTTAAAATTCCCTAACCGAATCTAAATAAACCTAACCTAACCTAACGTTCACATACACGAGCATTTTGGACGATCGCCGCTTACATCAATATGAACCGCGGTTTCCATAGTAACCACCATAAACAGTAAACAAATTCCCACTACCTCTCACCGCCCGAACTTTCTTCCTTCGCCATTTTATCACCGCTCGTACGATATTCAAATTTCGTCCAAATTCTTTCATTTGTTCCCGAGTTGAATCGAGTGGACGGACATAATGCGGACTTCGCCCAAAAAATGCTTAACTCTCGACATCATTTAAGTAATAATTCAGTTGTAGCGAAACCGTTTTATTTTCGAAAACAGAGCGATATTACTTTTAAAAATTGTTGGCATGTACAGCATTAAATTTTACATTTTATTATTTAATCTTTAGCAATTTAAATATTGCATGTCCGGGCACGCGATCCCAAAATAAACTTACCTCGGAGTGACGTTGTCTCCACCCTCAATCATGTCGTGACCTGACTGAGGAAAATCATTTCGCCTGACGTAATTGGCTACACGTGAACATGCCATATATACTGTGTTTATACACCACCTCACCAGATCGCGTATTCCGTTCATCCTGATCTCTTGATTAGTTTTTCTGTTCTTACTGAAACGCCCGTCCGCCAAGGTTTGTTTACTCTGAATCAACAATGTCAGACTTCCAGTTGATTGTTACCATGGTTTCCAACAATACTTTGTTTAGTTCTGCGTTGAAATTTGTTTGGACGTTGTTTATTTTGTTGATATGTAATTCATTGTTGCGTGCGTACGAATTTTCGTTGATTGTTGTAAGTTTAAAGTTGTCACAGCTGTACTTCTTATTGTCGACCGTGAAAACTCTACTCAAATGTTAGAACTCAATTTAAATTAACCTCGAAAAATGTTAATAAGAATTTAAAATTATAATTTCGTAAGATGGAATGATTCTTCACGATTTAAAGTTAACACAGTTGTACTTCTTATTACCCTGTTGTCGAAACTACGCATATAATTTTCGAACTACTAACTTATTTAAACTTAAACTCAAAAAATGTTATCATAAACATAATAAATTTTAAACTAGAAATTATTAACAGGGCGTTCAATACACCACAAATAAAAAAAATGATCTCTGTAGTTCACAGTGTCATTAAATAAGCCTTGATCAAGACTGCGACGAAACCGGGTATTTTATTTTTACAAAATAACTCAAAGTTTGTCCTTTAAAAATGGCGGTAACTCAGATGGAAATTATAATTTTGGGCTCAGATCGTAATATTAATTCCATTGAGCAGAGTCCTTCTTGAAAATATGAAAGTATGTTCAGCTCGTCGAGAAATTCTCTGATTTTTATGTATTCAAAAGAGCACTCCATTATCCTCAGCAAGACGAAAGCATTCGACACACTCATATCCATTTTAATATTATCCTCCCTCCCGCTCGATAGGATATGATGAATTTAAATAGCGTAACGATCAACAGAAGAAAACAAGTGCCCATGATCGTAGAATTAAATTGAAAATTATTGTTCCGGCCTGCACGATTATTTTCAAGGTCACATAAACCTTCAAATCCTTTTGACCGAATAAAACATTGGATTGGCTTCCTCGGCAGGAAGATTCGGTGTTAAAGACGTAAATACGTAATTGGCCGATGGAAAATAATTGGCGCCCAGGCTGCTTCGTCTTTTCCTTCTTCTTCTTCTTCTTCTTTAGATTGTTGCCATAAAATGCCAAAAGAGATACGGGCCTTCGTGTATTTATTGCAAATTACGAGCAGAAACCGGTTTTACGAGATGGCGTTCATTAATTCAGGACCGCTCTTTAAATTACGTGTTTTATTCGCTGGTGCAAACTTCGTAGTCGCGTACGAAGTTGAACGATTAAAATGTGTGCGACAGAAGATGAAGCTGCCCGAAGTCCAACGTTTGGTTGTTTTTCTGTTGGATGTCATCTCTGCACGTAGCACGTGCCTTTCGGGGTGCGAGATTCTGTCAAATTTCCGGCTATAAAACAACCGATTTTCAATCTGACCGCTGACAACACTTCTTTGATGTACGATGTCAGTGACGACTTTGTCGTAATTTAAATTGTCAAAATTGTGTCGCGTTCTTTCGTTATTGTAATAAAAAAATGACGTGACCTTCGTCTGTTGCATCGAGTTCAGTTTTTGTCTACACGTGTCGTAACACAGAAAACGCGTGTTGTTTGTCTACTCCCGGGATTTCTAGCCGCAGAGTTGATGCTGGAATGCTGGAGCATATTTATGATTTAATTTTTCCCCGGGCGTTTTTTGGAGATCCGGCAAACAAAAACAGTTTATTAACCAGATTCGTAACTTTCGGCCTGAAAGTGGGCGTAACCTAAATCATATTCTGTACTGATGCTATTAAATTATTTTTAACAACTCTTACCAATCAAAGACAATTTCAGAGTGATTTTTGCCCGGGTGTATGCACTTCGGATTTGAAATAGAATTAAATTTACGATTATATTATCGTATTGTTTTGTTGTGTCTTATTCAGAGACCGAGAACAAGTTAAAAGTCAGAGATACATTTGCGTTATTGCGCAGTTTTAATAAATTGTCTCTGTGACATTTATTTATCCCCCGGGAACGCACGCATTTTGGCAAAAACCAAAATTTGGAAACGTGGTCTGACGCTGGGGGTCCGGGACCGCCGATAACTTTTTTTTTTCAAAGATGGCGTGCGCACCTGGTTCGTTCTGGAAGACTTTGCAGCAATTAGAATCGTGTGCTCAGTCAGAAAGAGATGTTAATTACAGCTGCAGCTGTCGGGGTTATCTGGACGACGAGGAGGAAGTTGTTGGCGCGTCCAATTACGTTTTTCTTGTTTATTCGAATGCGGTTTGCGTTATCTCGTAAGTTCTGACTCGTCTCAGAAACCCGATTGTGACCCTGTAAGGCCGAAGGAGAAAACATGTTTGTAGGCTAATTATTTATTCGTCTGCCATCGGGCGAAATGATTGGGATGTGCGCTTATGGCCGCGGTCCACCGAAAGTTGGACTGTGAAGAGATCTTGTGCCGAGATGTGCTGGACACTCTGTGACGATGTGTCTCAGAAGTAAAATGAAAGGGAATTAGAGTGATGTAAGTTTCCACTTTTTATAAAATATATAATTATTTTAATCGGAATAAGAATTTTAATGAAAATGTTTTTATTAACTTCTCCCCTTTGAGAATCGTAGGATTTCTCAAAGCATGCAAACATTTCATTGTGTTTTTGACGTAAATACGTCTATAAGGAAGGGTCATTCGGCAGAAAAGTGTGAAAAGTGTACCTAGGGGACGTTACATTACATTACTCGGCATTGTTGTTACCTACGAAACGTCGTCTGTTTACTCGGCATTGTTGTTACCTATGGAACGTCGTGTTTACTCGGCATTGTT